TCACACACACACAGCCACCTCAAAATAGGCCTCCAGCACGCGGCAGCCGCCCGGGTCCCGAGCCACCTGCTGCAGCTGGGCCGGCGCCAGCGCCGCCACCGCCTCGCCCCACTGCCGGCAGGCGGCGGGGGGCAGGCGCAGCACAGCGGCGGCCATGGCGCAGCCCAGGCTGCTGAGCCTGCAGCGGGGGCAGGGAGGTGGCGGCAAGGGGGGTGGAAGGTGGCACTGGGCAAGGCAGCAGCGCGGGTGGGAGGCCAGCCATGAGAGATGTATGCAGCAAGCTTGGGGATGCGAGCCTGGCCGGGGCAGGCCGGCTGCAGCGCTAATGGCGCCTTTGGCGGCACCAAACACTGCAGGCAGCGGGGCGGGGGGGGCGGCCAGAGGGTAGCCAACACCATTGCTGGCGCCTCCACCCCGGCAGCAGCCCCGGCTTGACACCACACCCGCCCCACCCCGCACCTGCCGCCGCCGCTGCCGCCCAGCTGCGTGTGCGTGTCAAGCGTGAGCAGGGCCGCCAGCGGGGCGCCGCCGCTGGTACCACTCCCGGTACCGGCAGTACCGCCGCCCGCCGCCGCCCACAGCGCCGCCGCAGCCTCCGCCTCCTGCGTGCCCAGCCGCCCGGCGGCCGCGAGCAGCGCGGCGAGCACGCCGCTGCAGTACAGGAGAGGGGTGCAGGCGGTACAGGGCGCGGTAGGGCACCAGGGTGCAGGCGGGGCAGGTTGCATGGGCGGGCCATTGTGGGCAGGCGTCTCTATCTAGAAGGCCCCTGTGAGGCACGGGCCTGCAGGCGGTAGCGCAGCACCACCGGCAGCGGCGGCCGGCGGCTGCGGCGGCGGCAGCCGGCGGCCCACGCACCCGCGGCGGCTACGCAGCAGCTGCGGGAAGCTGGGGCGAAGGTCCTCAAACATACGCTTCAGCTGCGGCGGTACATTGGGGCGGCACAGCCGTCAGTCGGTTTAGGCCGTGAGCACGGCACCAGCAGGCCACACGCAGCAGGGCACGCAGGCAGAGGCTGAGGGTTGCGGCGTTTCTGCAGGCGCAGGCCGGGTTCGCCCCAGCAAAGCCGCGCAGCAGAGCAGGGGGCGGAGCAGCGAGGGAGGGTGTGGTGCTGACCCCCCTCAGCAGGCATATCGGGCCCAGCAGGCACATCGGGCCCAGCATGCACAGCATGCACAGCATGCACAGCATGCACAGCATGCACAGCATGCACAGCCCCCTCACACCTGCTGCGGCTTGCGCAGCGCGGCGACCGCCGCCTGCACCGCAAAGTTGGCGCACGGGTGTTGCGCCAGGCTGCAGGGAGGGATTAGGGAGTGGCAGGGGCAGCAGAGGGGAGGTTAGGGAGGCGCCGAGCCTTGCTGCAGGAAGAGCAGGCGACAGACAGGATCGGCGGGGGCAGCAGGGGGAAGGGTAGGGAAGGGCGCAGGGTAGGCGGGGTAGGGTCCCGAACCGCCCCAAAACAACATGGTGGCAGCGATGTGCATGCAGTGCTGGGGGAGCAGGCTCAAGACGGCCGGCGGCCCTTGAAGCATGCGGCGGCAGATGGATGGCGCGCCAGGCGTGGGCACGCAGGGTGGGCACGCCGCGCGTCCAGCCGACACGCGACACACGGCCACCGTGTCGCAGCTTCCTTTGCGCGTATGCAGACACACCGCCAGACACACCGGCTAGGCAGCCACACAGGCAAGGCAGACACACCGGCAGACACACCGGCTGGGCAGCCACGCCGTAAGCAACAGCAAACAAAAAAAGCAGGAGCATCCAACCAGCGGGGGGCGGCTCACGGCAGCAGGTGTCCCTTGAAGCAGAGCGTGGTCAGCTTGGCAAAGTAGTCATCGGGGGCGGTGAGGAAGACGGCCTGTGGTACGATGGCGGTACGGATGAGGTACGGTGCGGTACAGTGAGGTGGCACGGTGAGGCGGTACGGCCGGCGGCGCAGGGATGAGGAAACGCGTGCGGAGGAGCGCGCTGGGCGCGGGCCGGCTGGCAGCGGCTGCCTTGCCACACACCCCAGCGCCTGCCTCCCTGCCTTCCTCCCTACCTGCCTCCCTCCCTCCCTCACACGCGCGCGCACA